CAAAACTCATCTGATAGCATTTTCCCTACAGCCTCTCTCCATTTATTTCTCTGCCTTTTTAGGGATAAGACAATATCATCTTGAAATATATATATTTTTGCAGTTCAATTTATCTAGAAATATTGCATATGAAGGCTATTAATAGTTACCTTCCCTGATCTTTCCCAGTGTCTTAAACCCAGTTTCTTCAACCAGAATTAAGGGATAGGTAAACATTGCCACAGGCTCTTGAGAAGTTAGGAGAGCATCTCTTTTCCTAATTTCAAGTTCAGGATTAGGCATCAATGAATAAAAAAATATGATCTATTTACCATTCTGGGAACTTGGCTACATGATCTTTGAATATATACAATGTATTTAAAGTAGTTAGACAATATTTTCATTTCAGAAATGAATAAATAAAACTAAGATGAGATAAAATGTTTGCCCAAGATCATAGAGCTAACACCTAATGTAGCTACAATTTGTTTCTGGGAATGTTGTATTCCAAAGTCTACATTCTTGACAACCCATGCTTCCCGATATTGTTCAACAAAACCAAATGCAGGGAGTCCCAGATAGAAGTTATTTGGAGACATAGGTTTGGCATACTCGACTGTAGAGTGAACAGAGGTTTTCCAGTGAAGAAAGATAATTATGTAATACAGATAGCGATTACCAATGGACTCTCATACTCTTGAATATAAAATTTATACTGGCCATTGCCTTTCTAAGCTCTGGTGTGGCCATGTGCTCTTTGAGCTATGGCCAGGCCATGTTTTCTTAAGGTTTGGTCCCCTCTCCTACCTTGGGGAGGTGAATCACCTCTCTCTCTCTCTAATTTACTTTCTAAATAAACTATATTCTCTAATCTAAAAAAAAATATATATGCCAACACTCTAAATCAAGCTACAGTTAGGAAATGGTAGCCTATTTTATTAGTTGTTTTGTAGGCAGATTCATACCTCAAACAACAGGTATTATTTGAGAAATCTTATTTCTAAGGCAATTATCAGAAAAAGTCCTTTGATTAGCTTTTGTCAGAGGGATTTTTTAAAATATTATTTTTTTTAGATTAGTAAATGTAGTTTATTTAAAAAGTAAATTAGAGAGAGAGAGAGAAAGAGGAGATTCATCTCCCCAAGGTAGGGGAGGGGGCCAAAGCCAGGAAGCATGGCAACAGCCACAGATCAAAGAGCACATGGCCATACCAGAGTCTAGCAAGGCAATGGGCAAAAAAATATATTATATTATTGTTTCAGGTGTCCTACTAGACCACACACCTCTTTACTCAAAATAGAGAGCTGCTCCTTTGAAAATGTGTAAATAGCTCTGATTGCTGTTACTCTCCCAACCACAAATTCAGTAATTGTAATTACTGAAAATCTTCAATATTTAAAATAGCAGAATATAGAAACAATTGAGTCTTTTGTTCTAAATTGCTCATTTTCAGTTGAAAAACCTGAGATACACACACACACACACACACACACACACACACACACACACACACACACACACCTGACTTTCCCAAGTTCACATAGCATAGCAAATAAATTAGGGCTAACTTATAAATTGTGACTCATGTTCCAATTTCCTTTCAACTCTATTCCGCCAATTATTGACAAGAGATGGCTTATGATTGTTCCTCCACAGTCTTTTTTCTGACTGTGGGTTTGTTTACAGAGTGTCCTATTTGATAAAATGTTGACAAAAAGGAAAACTCCAGAAACCGTTCTTGGTTCTTGACTTGATTCCATTGATGGTTTGATTTTCCCATTATTCTCAACCTCATATACAAACACATACACAGACAAGAAGTCAAGTTATATGGTTCCAATTTATTGCACAAATATTAGTAATTGAAAATACACACGGAGATGACAAGTGCACTAATAATTATTGATACTACATACTGCGTAATAGGATACAGTAGTTACGGAGCAAGAAACTAAGACTGGATGAATAGATGTGTATTCCATGCTCATGAAGAAGATGACATTTAAGTTGACATTTAGAGAGATAATTTGGGCCAGGTGCAGTGGCTGAAGCCTATAATCCCAGCACTTTGGGAGACTGAGGCAAGAGGATTGCCTGAGCCCAGGGTTCGAGACCAGCCTGGGCAACTTGGCGAGACCTCATCTCTACAATAAATCAAACAATTAGCCAGGCATGGTAGCATGTACCTATAGTTCCGGCTACTTGGAAGGATGAGGCGGAAGGATCGCTGGAGCCCAACAGGTCGAGGTTGTGGTGGCTGTAAGTGTGCCACTGCACTTCAGGCTGGGCAACAGAGTGAGACTCTAACTCAAAAAAGAAAGATAATTTGGGGCAAAGATAGTGTGAAGAATATCCCAGCAGTGGACTCTGTGTGTACCTGAGGTGGGCATGTGATAAAAGGCAGGCAGAGATGGATAGCTATCAGAATGATTTTGAGAAAAAAATTAAAAACTGTGTGATTTCTATAGAAACGATATAGGCAATAATATGGTTAAAATGTGACTTGAAGGGATTAACGGGGGTATTGTTTGTTAAACGATAGTAAAGATAGATTGCATCCATTTCTAGAGGTTCCAGAAGGCCAGGTTTAGGGGTCTGGATGTGAATATATATGCCATGGAAGCGATGTGGTTAACACCTGCGGATGATCAAGAAGGAAGATGCAGACCAGGCATGGAGGCTCACACCTGTAATCCAGCACTTTTGGAGGCTGAGGCGGAAGGATTACTGGAGTCCAGAGTTCGAGACCAACCTAGGCAACATAGCAAGAGCCCTCATCTCTACAAAAAAAATTAGCCACGCACCTGTAGTCCCAGCTACTTGGGAGGTCAAGGCAGGAGGATCACCTGAGCCCAAGAAGTCAAGGCTGCAGTGAGCCATGATTGTGTCATTGTACTCCATTGGACAACAGATTGAGAATGAAAGGGTATGCTTTTTTATTCTGCTGTCGAATTTGTAGAAACAAAATTTTATTTTAGAAAAATGAAAGTAGAAAACCTGTTTCTGAAATTAAACAAAGCACACCAAGTCACTTAATTATTTGTTGTGTGGTTGTTATGATTACTTTCATAGTCTAGAGAAATTAACATCTACCTGTCACCTTTTAATTTTGGTATCCTAAGTACATAAATTCAATTAATCCCCAAACTGAGTTTTCTGTCCTTCTATAGGACTCTTCTATTTAGGCTAGTGACAATGAAAACTAACTGTTCCTCCTCTTAAAAATAGCAAACAGCAAAAAAGTTTGCTTAACTTGACTTTTTCCATTACCTTCTATTCATAATCTACTATCTTATTTCTCACATATACCCATTCTCTCTCTATAAATGTCTTTGTACATTTTTATTGTTTACTTATCACAATACTGCTGTTCGGAATTCCTCTGTACCTTTTGCACTCATTCACTGTTACTATTTTCTGTACCATCTCCATGCCCTGCTTGGAGTTCATTTACCATTGTGAACTTTTTTTTTGTCCATGCCAACAGATATTGCTTCTGATGACTTTTATTCTCTCTTTATCCACTCTCTCTCCACTTTGGGCTACCTGCTGTCTACTGATTCTCAATGCACTTTTCTGATTAATTCTTGGCTCTTCTATTCTTGATTTTAGCCTTACTTTTGCTCTCTGATCACAGGAATGAGAATTTTACTTGGTTTCACTTATATCTCAGAATAATTCTTTGAGAGTGTTAACTTGCTTTATTTATAGTAATCTCTCTCATAATGACATTAAACTTCTATTGCCAAATTTTGTCTTTATCAGAACTCTGTACTGGATCCCATCAGGCTCTCTCCAATTGCCTTTCCCTTTATCTCTTCAAAATGAAAGTCTAAAACTGAATTTAATTTAGGTCTATCCATAGTCTTTCTCCACCATTCATATTTCTGACTTTCTATCATTTTTTAACATTATCAGGTGTTCTTTGATCTTAGATGCAAATACATTAATGCATTAGTCAACCAATTGCTTGTATAAAGTTATTTTTTTAACTTGTTAACAAAATCAATCAATCACCATTTTTTTCTATATTTTTTAAGCTATGGCCATGTTTTTCCATTCCCAATGATTTCATTTCAGCTCAGATCTTTATTAATTTATTATTGAATCATCACAAATGTCTTAGTAAATGATTTCTCCAATTATAGATCCTTGTTTTTAACCTACCTACCTCACCAGGTAATGGGTAACTCAATAAATTCCCTATTACCTAGTCATCAATATGTCAACATTATTGAACAATAAATGTCATTGAATGTGATGATGATTCAGCCAATATACAGATTTTTATAAAACTTTTGTCTTTGTAAAAATGTATTTTCATTGAGAGGTTTTAAAATATTTGCATGTAGAAAGTTATATATCATGTAAGTTATACATATTTGTCTGTGTGGTTAGGTGTTTCTTGGTGGCTGAGTGCATATCATACCAACTGTAGCTATTGTGAACTCGAAAAAGAATTAAGAACCAAGTATTACCAAACTGTCAAAGTTTAATTCAACTCCCAGCCAGCCTTCTTGTTTTCACTATGTGCACTGTTATAGACACAGAGTAAAATCTTACTTTATCAGGTGTTGATGTCCCAGAAGGGATGGGTGAGCTATCAAAATATAAACTAAGAAAAATGGGTGTATATCATATCTATAAATGGAAGGGGAAATGTCTTTAAGTGAACAGAAGGAATAAAAACAAAGTACTGGTGGATTACTTGAACCCAGGAGTTCAAGACCAGCCTGGGCAACATAGCAAAACCTCATCCCTGCAAAGGAAAAAATATGAGCCAGGCATGGTGGCACATGCCTGTATTCCTAGCTATTCAAGATGCTGACACAGAAGGGTCACCTGAGCCACAGAGGTCCAGACTGAGTAACAAAAAAAAGTATTTTTCATCTGGAGAATAATTCTAGTATAAAACTGGGAGACTGTGGAGAGAATAGAAATTTCTCCACTAGCCTCTTAAATAAAGACCTTGGTTTTCTGGACTCTTGGCTGTGAATCAGAATTTGCTGAACACATGATTCTTATAATTCAGTGGGAGGAGACATTTCTTCTCTTTCTTCCAACTCACTGTAAATTGTTGAATATATATTTAATTCTTCATAAAGACGATCATCTGGAACCTGTATAAGGGAAAAAAATTATTCTATATTAATCTCCGAGAATTTTCTATCACCAGAGGTCTTGTTCCAGAGGCTTATCACATCTCCTTTTGTCTTTCTGGATTCCACATTCCCTCCCTTCAACTATTTCTTCCACTTCCAGAAAACCAAACCAGACTAACTGGCCAAACCAGATTGACTGGTGGCTCAAGCCTATAATCCCAGCACTTTGGGAGGCCGAGGCAAGAGGATTGCCTGAGCTCAGAGGTTCAAGACCAGCTTGGGAAACTTAGTGAGACCTCATCTCTACAATAAACTAAAAAATCAGCTAGGCATGGTAGCATGTGCCTGTGGTTCCAGTTACTTGGAAGGCTGAGACAGAAGGATTGCCTGAGCCTAGCAGGTCGAGGTTGCAGTGGCTGTGAACATGCCACTGCACTCCAGCCTAGGCAACAGAGTGAGGCACTGACTCAAAAAAAGAAAAAAAAGATATCATGGCAGTCCATAACAAGTTGATGAGATTATTCTTTAGTATACCTGTTGTCTTATCTTTGGAGGAGGGTGATTTTAAAAGATAGCTAGACCTGAAGGCTTCAAGAAAGTGGACGAGTAAGACTGTTTTATCCATCAAATCTAGTAAACTGCATAGGCATAAAGGGCTGGTGATTCTCACCACAAGTGCACGTGGAAACAGAGCTTGCATCATAAGTTAGGAAGGAAAGAAAATTGAGGTTTTAGAGCAAGAGGGAAAGAAAAAGTCAAGAAAAAAAAAGGAGGAGAACAGGAATGACTATAAGGCAGATATTTCTGAGACAGAAAATAAGGCCAGATACCCAGTGGTTCCATCACAATGTTCCTGCATATTCATCTCTCACATTCAACACACAACCAAGCATCCACATTTTCGAAAATTATAAAAATCTCATCTTCCTAACTCTCAGTCAGGGGAATATTTTATGATATTTGTGATATTTATGAATGTAAAATGTTATTTAAAATGTGAGATTTGAAAACTAAAATAATGTAACTTAGGGAAACAATTTTCTGGAATAAATGTTTCAGAAAACTCAGGCCATAGCTTTAGGAATAAAGCTTTAATTCATTAGCCTGTCATTCAGGATTGGTTGATTTTGGAGTCAAGGTCCCACTCTTTCACCCAGGCTGGAATGCAGTACCGTGACTATGGCTCACTGCAGCCTCGACCTCCAGGTCTCAGGTGATCCTCTCACCTGAGTAGCTGAGACTACAGGCATGTATCACCATGCCCTGCTAATTTTTAATTTTTTTTGTAGAGTCAAGGTCTTGCTATGTTGCCCAATCTGGTCTCAAACTCCTGGGATCAAACAATCCTCCCACTTCAGTCTTCCAAAGTGCTGGGATTACAGGTGTGAGACACCACACTCAACCTCATTCAGTATGTAGTGTCAGGTTTCTACCTACCTTATTTTCCTTGAGTTCTTCTCCAACTCCATAGATTGTGAGTGACACCGCACTGCAAAACCCCAGAATGGTGAGGAATAGTATCATCACCACAATTTCCTGTTGAACCACAACCAGAAAGACAAAGTCACGTGGTAGATGACCCAAAAGTTCATTCCCTTACGGCAGCCCCTGCTTCCATCTCCTCACACATAATCAGTCCTTATAAGGTGATACACACACAGAGAACCCAGATTAGTCTTTAGTATGCCTGTTGTCTTATCTTTAGCGGTTACTCGCAGCAGATAACTCCAACCTTGATGCATTTGGCTAGGGGAGGGGGGAAGCAGGAAGTCAGCATCTCCCTGGACTACATGATGTGATGGGAGAGACAGCAAAAGGATTCCACACAGAGAAAAGGAAAAGAGGTCTTCTTACTTAGGTTAGAACCCAGAATCTCAGCCTTCTCACAGGAAATACGTACAGTGGAAAAAGAAGCCAAAAAGCAGCCATCAATCTCAGAAGATGTCTGGCAAATGTCGATATAAGCCGAGCTCTTCTTTAGGTTAATGATCAGGATGACGATTCCTGTTCCCCCAGCTATACTGCTGACAGTGTTTGCCCCCAGGCGTCCTCTTGTCTGGTGATAGAGAAGAACACTCAGACCTGGGTTTTGCACCTGCTGGCACATTCAGTCACCTATCTGCATTTCGGGACTGGATGCAGCCAGTAAACTCTGCATGGTTCAAAATTTGGGCTAAAAATGGAAACCTTGAAAATGTACTCATTGTTTGATAAGCATATGCTACTTTCTGGTTTGGACTATGTTCAGGAGCCATATGGACACAAATGGTGTCTTTTTAGTCTCAATTGTAAACCCATAATTTTTCTGATTGTGAAAACATACCTACAAGGACATTGACTGTGTGGGACTATTTTTTTTAAACAAGTGACAATGTAATGAAATTTCATTATATGTTAAATGATACAATTTGTGTTTCCAAAGGTTATATCCAACTTCTGCTGCAATAAAGCCCTCTAACACAAAATAGATTGAAAACAAACCACATATCCACATTTACTAGTAATATAAAAGATGAAGACATGTATCCCTCGAGATCTTTTTATAAATTTTTTTTTTAAGAGATGGGATCTCGCTGTGATGCCAAGGCTGGTCTCAAACTCCTAGACTCAGGCAATCCTCCCACCTCGGCCTCCCAAAATGCTGAGATTACAGGAGTGAGCCACCACACCTAGCCCTCCCTCAAAACCTTTAAAATTCCATTCTTCTTACCTTTTCAAGGATGGACAAAGGCAGAATTTCAACTCACCAGATATATCGCATTTTTATTTTCAGATATAATTGACAAAAATCCAGATATAGAAAACTGTCCAAAAGGGAGAGGAAAAAAAGCACATTGAGTTACTGTTGTTCAATACGTCCCTTTCACCTCCATTCCCCAAACACAGGGTAAAATTTAAAGTATTCCATAAAGTTACCCACTAATGTCCTCATGTGCCCAGTATTTTCTTGTTCTTATTTTTCTAAGAGTGCTTCTCAAAATTAGATGTGAGGGTCTTGTTAAAATGCGGACTCTTATTTATTCGGGTCTGAATGGAGCCTGAAGTCTCTCACATACACCAGACCCCCAGGTGATGCTGTCCCTGACTGTCCACGGGTCACTCTTGGAGTATCCGGGCCCAGCAAAATTTGGTGCATGCCTCTATTCTACCACTGCTCTCATTCTATTGCAGTTGTCTGTTTGTATGTGTATCCTCTGTATTAGACTGTCAGCTCCTTCCATCAAAAAAACATGTGCTTGTATGACTCACAATTGCAAAGATGTGGAATCAAGCTACATGTCCATCAACAAATCAATGGATAATGAAATTGTGGTATATACCATTTATCATCAAAAAGAATGAAATAATGTCTTTTGAGCAACTTGGAAGGAATTGGAGAGTATCATCCTAAGGGAACTGACAGAGGAAGGAAAAAATCAAACACCGTATGTTCTCACTTATAATTGGAAGCTACACTAAGGCTCTGAAAAGGCATAGAGGATAGTATAATGGGCACTGGAGACTCAGAAGGGGGAGAGAGAAAGGGAAAGAGACAAAAACCACCAATTGGGGACAATGAGCACAGGCGGGAATGGTGGATACATGTAAAACCCAGACTTCCTTACTGCAGTGCAACCATGTAACCAAAAACTATTTGTACCCCCTAAAGCTATTGAAATAAATGAAAACAAAAAACCATGTGCTTGTGGCAGGCATATCTCCAGAATCTGTCATATGCCATATGGACATATCATGATTATAAAAATGTACATGATGAAAGATTTGGTGAAAATACGTCAGTTGCACAAATTCAAGGCAATCTCTTAAAGACTAATATTGTATGATTAGGTTGAGAGACACCTGATAAGCTGTGTCTGTAACGAAAAGACAGCAGAAAGAAGTTTCAAATAAAATATGGCTGGGATACAAAGAGACTTCTGAACAAGTGATCTGAGCCCTAAATATTCAGCAAAATGACAAACCAATGGGATATATTTTAAAGTTAAAATGTATTCTTATGAATGTATTGATACTGATATATTCTTGTGAAGAGTATTGATTTTTAAAATTTTATTTTAAAAATTGCATTTTAAATATATTTATAAATTATATTTCTAAATATTATATTTAAAAATTATATTCTTGTGCACAGTATTGATATATTCTTGTGAATAGTACTGATTAAAAAAAACATGGAGGAAATATCCTTGGTTCTCCTACTGCTCTGGGAGCTTTTTTCTGTTCTCTCAATAAACACTGTTTTCTCACCAAAAAAAAAAAAAGATTAGTCACAAAATAATTATGTGGCATTGGCCGGGCACAGTGGCTCATGCCTGTAATCCCAGCACTTTGGGAAGCCAAAGCAGGAGGATCACTTGGGGCCAGGAGTTCAAAACCAATCTGGTTAACATAGCAAGATCCTATTTCTACTTCAAGAGATAAATAATAATAATAATAATGTGGCACAAATAAAGACAGATAATAAACAGAACATGTTGCACGATTCCACTTATATAAAGCTCTAAAAATGCGGGATAATTTATATTTACAGAAAACAGATCAGTGGCTTTTTGAGGATGAGAGGATGAGGAGTGAAGGGAAAAAGAAAGGGTTACAAAGAAGCACAAGGAGACTTTTGGAGATGATGGAAGTTCATCATATTAATGTGGTGATGCTTTTATGTGCGTCTCCATGTATCAAAAATTATTCAATTCTATACCTTAAATATTTGCAATTTATTGTATGCCAATTATACCTCCTTATGATCTCATTCAGTCACCTATTTCCTGTACAGAACAATGATTAAAAGAGAGACAATGAGAAAGCCTCTAAAATCGTTTCTAGGGCATAGAGGTTTTATCAGATACCTGTTGACCTTATTTCTCTCATCTCAGCAATCTCTTTCACCTTCCTTCATGGAGATAACTTTGTTTATTATTATTATTTTCAATTGATAGATATAATTGTATTTATCATATAACTTTACTGGTGAATAGTCTTAGGGGTATTTTCCTGGAATTGAATTCTGAAAGTTTAAGCTCAATTTCTATTAGCTAAATGTTTCCTGGGCAAGTTATTTACCTGTTATTGGTCTCGGGTTTCTTATCTGATAGAACTGTGGGCTACATGTTTAACCCAAAGTCAAGTACAATAAGAACCTTTGCTGTTGTTAATGAGCAGCTCTGTGTAAAAAATTATAAATATTATCTTAGAGGTAAACAACCGGTTAGATCTGAATAAGAGAAAATTTATATTCAGTGTCATTTCAGAAACGACCATAGATATATACTCACAAACATGGCTCCCCAGAATGGATAACCTGCTTTAAACGATGAAAAAATGTCAACCTCCAAGTCTGAAATATTGATTACAGAGCAGACAATTGTTCCAAAACAAAGGCATATCAAACCAGTTAGAATTTGTGTGGCCTGTAGGAAAACACAGGGGTTTTTGTGAAATTAGAAGATATTTTCTCACAATTGTATCAGTTTCTTTGAAGGCAAATATAAGAATTGCTTTCATGTCTTAGACTGTCTTGAGAAGGAACCCAAATGTGAGATTTTCCAGTATCTCTTGGCCACTATAAAAACTGATCCAAGACCAGGCATGGTGGCTCACTTCTGTAATTCTAGCACTTTGGGAGGCCAAGATGGGAGAACCACTTGAGCCTAAGGGTTCCTCATCAGCCTGGGCAACAAAGCGAGTTCCAGCTCTACCAAAAAAAGAAAGAAAGAAAGAAAAAGAGAACCAGGTGTGATGGCATGCACCTGTTGTCCCAGCTACTCGGGAGGCTGAGACGAGAGGATTACTTGAGTCCAGGAAATAGAGACTGTAGTGTGCCAAGATTGCACCAGTGCACTTCAGCCTGGTTGACAGAGTGAGACTCTGAACTCAAAATAAAATAAAATAAAATAAAAATAAGTAAAAAAGAACTCATACAAATACTATCTTTGTATGAATGACTAATATCATTCTCATGTGTCTTTATTTATGTAGTCATTTTGAACATCAGGAATTGTTTTTTTATTCCCTCAAAGTAAAGATATAAATTATAAATATTTTCCTCCTATTTGCCTTTCTTTTCTTGTAATTTAAAGATTTTAAGAGGAACTCCTTTTCTCTTCCCCAGAAAGCTGAATTGGTGTCAACTCTTTATCTTCCAGGTTTTTAAAGACCCTGTCACTCTTCGTGAACCCAAGTGGGAAAACAGGCAATGGAACCAAATATCATTTTCTAGAGCCAATCCTTGCTCTAGTCAAGGTTGGAGGAGGCTCACTCACCCCAAGGAATTCCAGCTCTTTTTTCAAAAATGTCAGCCATGTATGTTGTGGCGGGGATGAGGCTGACTTCCTCTGTGAGGCATTATCACGGGGAGATAATCCGGTGAGTTCAGATTCAGGCACACTGTGAAATTTAACAGAAACTCAATTATCAGAAAATTCTTGAATTCCCTTCGCAAAGTCCTTGACTAACGAAAGAGGAGCTTTGTTTGTTTTACTTTGTTTTTTCCAAAACAATCCTGCAATTGAAATCTTATTGTAATGACTAAGTCACTAAGGCTCAGAGTATTTGAGTAACTGACCAACAACATCTGGAAAGTATCCAAGCGATTAGATGAGACAAAATGGAACATATTCCATGTTTAAGACTTCTTATTCTTAATCCGGGGCTACTTCCAAGTTCTACTCCATGAATCTACATTGACAAGTAAAACTGAAAACATTTGAGCAAACACATTTGCCTAAGCCTCTCACAGTCCTTTTAACATAGAAACATATCTGAATATATTTTGTCAATGATAACCCCACCTTCATGGGCAGTTAAAAAAAATGGCTTTGAAAGTCTAGTTGGACCTCTATTACTTTTCTTTATTTTTTTAAGTCAGAGTCTCACTCCATTACCCAAGCTGGAGTGCAATGGCACGCTCTCGGCCACTGCAGCCTCAACCTGCTGGGCTCAGGTTATCCTTCTGCCTCAGCCTTCCAGGGAGCTGGAACTACAGGCATGTGCCAGCGTGCCCAGCTAATTTTTGATTTATTTGATTTATTATCTTGAATCACTGGGCTCAGGCAATTCTCTTGCCTTGGCCTCCCAAAGTGCTGGGATTACAGGCTTGAGTCACTGCACTGGCCTCTACTACTATTTTTCATCTTCTAAGCAGCATCCCACAGTTTACGGCTCATAAGAGCAATTAAGAAGATCATTTTACAAAGCATTTTTAAAATATGTGTCAGAGGTATGTGTCCCTAAGCACATATTAGAAACAGAAACAAGCAATCTACATTCATAGCATAAACTCTCCTGTCTCATACCCAGAATATGAGCCTCTTATATCAGAAAACCTGTTATTCCAATTTTATAAACTGAGTAAAAATTCTGTCTACCAGTGAGAGAGAACAACCACTTGGAAAGTATACCTAAATGTTTGAACTGGCATCTCCCAAGAACTGTGACTGTGACTTTCTCTGCCACTAGACAGATAGAAGAAATAATAACCTACCTGGAGGATTCTTGTGGGCTTGGGAGAGCAAGATCAGCTCTGCTCCTATTTGTCATGTCCATTTTTTCATTAACTGGTCTATCCAGAAGTGAAGAATATTGTTATATTGAGACTTGGTGGACTTCCCCTCACAGTGTGTTCTGGCTAGGCAGTTGAAATGTGTTAACTCGTGATATTGATGATTATCTTCATACATAAACCATTTGTCAGACGGATGTCTCAGTTGATTAAGATCAACAGGGTTTTACTTATTATAATTAATACAAAAATTGAGAAGGCTACTGAATAGGGACTAGTATGAAGTGAGTAAATTTGAGATTCCTGGAGCATAATTCTGCCTGCAACTAGTCGAATTTACAGAACCTAAAAAATGAGATATTTTAGTGGGAGTTGAGAAGGTGAGAGAGAACTGCAGAACAGAAAGAGAAGTGCTTTTTTTTTTTTTTTTTTTCTGGAGCTTTCTCGACTGTGTCCCAGTTCAGTCATATGTCTATGTCAGAAGTTCTCCAACTGTACCTTTGAAAAGTCTGTCTTTCCTATATAAGGCATATTTGGTTTCATCTGTAGACCCCAAACGGAAGCACTATTTGTGTGCATGAGTGTTTCTTAGTCTCTGAATCTCCAGACCCGTCTCTGACTTAACTATCTATTGTCTTTCTTCCTGTCTTTTGGACACTGTTTATATGACTCAGCAGATGGTCTCAGAAAATAGGATATGCAGAATTTTAAGTGCTGTGAACCGTACCTGACAGGATGTACAAGCTAAGAAGTTATTATGCTAACGATTCAGTTTTCTGCTAAAATTAAATTAGATGAACTCTGTTGCTTAGAACTTAGGGATGGCAAGGATGGAATAATGAGAACACTGAGGGGCATAAACTTGATAGCAAATCTCTTGAGCAAAGCTAAATAGCATTGGACTGAGTAGTATGTCTGAATAAGGATTAGAGACAAACCAATGTGTCTATTCTATGAACGTTAACTAGCTAGACCATAGCAAAATGAGTACAGGTAAAATTCACAGGTTTGGATATCTTTTATTTCCACTTAATCATAGACATAACCTTGAATGGCTCTTCAGTAAACCTCAAGATACTACAAATTGTACCTCTAATCACCAGTGGTGTGTTTTCTGGAATGTGATAAAATTTTCTTGTTGTGGGAAACTAAAATATTTGAAGAACAGAGGCTACTACAAGACATATTGGCATAACTTTCATGGCAAAAATTTATTAACCCAGATGCCATCTTCCCACTGTGTCATCAGGAATTGGTGGACCTAACCAATGTGCTATTGAAATTAAGAAATAAAACTTACTTGCTTATATATTCACCCAAAAAGGACTAAATAGGCTTTAGACGGTTACTGCTCTTATCACTGGGCATGCACAGATGAACACCACAGTCCCAGCCCCTGTTTAGCCCATAGTCAAGCAGAGAAGAATAAAGATAAATGACACACTATTACCCAATAAATCAGAGACTGGGAGGAGGGTTTTGGATCATGTAGGAGGGTATATCAATTCTGCCTGATGAGGGGTATGTAGGGTTCAGGAAAGGAATTCCTAGAGAAGGTAACATTTGAGACCAGACTTTAAAAGATACCCTCAGAGATTTTCATTTGCTTGCCTCTTTCTTAGTAAAATTACTCCACATTTTTCGGGAAAAGTCCTGAAGTAAGGATTTTGCATGGTGTTTCCTAAGCGTTTATCATAGTTATGTGTGCAGCAATGATTAGGAAACAGACTGAAACTGGCCTGATTTCCCCATAGAATGAATATTTTTAAAAAATAAACATAGAAATTGACCCTCCAGATCTTGAACCTTAAAATGCCTATTTGCCTCATCTGACTTCCTTTCTCAGAAGACTGACTCTCAGGGAAGGGACTGAAACTCACCAGAACAGGGCATCTCAACAATGAGATGCCAGCCCCATCACTTGTCATGATTACTTCCTTATTCTTCCCTAATTGCTGTTTTGCATTGCTTCCCCCAAATATATAAACCCCCAATTTTAAGCAGCCAGGAAGATAGATTTAAGACTGATCTCTTCTCCTTGGCTCATGTCACCCAAATAAAAAGACTTCTTCCCTGGAAAGACCTGTTACCTCAATGATTGACTTTCTCTGCAGCAGGCAACAGGACCTCAGTCAAATCCCTGGCATTTCGTGACAAAACTTGAGATTTAGATAGGAAACAAATTGAAGGTGGTCTTTGGCATTCAAACACCATGCTATATTTTGATAATTTTTAATAGAATCTTGAAAAATGCAAATAGGAAACTGTCATGCCTTATAACCTCCCAATTCTTTCATATCCCAGTTTCCACAGCAGCTTCTTCTTGTCTCTTCCGTTCTTCTGACTCACATTTGGACTCCCTACAGTCATGCACTTTCATCTTACATAATAGTGAACACTGAAATATAAGACAAAATGACTTTTTTTTTGGTGGGGCAAAATTGTCAGGATGAGTTTTAACCATACCTGAAAATAAGAGATAGTAAAACTAATATTTCTGTCCCACCATTTGACGAAACTCTGAAAAATATTTTAAGATGGCTTATTCTGAAACAAATTTGAGGAGCTAGGCCCAGGACCATCCATCTTCAGGAGGTGGTGTGCCCACCATAACTGAATGGTGGCTTGGTTATACATCTTAGGAAGGCAGAAATTACAAGAAACCTTAAATCAATACATGTGAGATTCCCATTGATTGGAAGGAGGGACATTTATAAGTAGGAGCTAAGTTCAGGTCATAAGTGGATTGAAAGATTTCTTGACTGGTTAATTTGTAGTTTCTGCCTAAGGAATTTTGGAAATTAGTAGAGGAGATGCTTTGCTGAAATAAGGGGGTAGAAACAACTTCAGATATGTAGATATGTAGATGAAATCCTCTATGTGGCAGACTTCAAAGAGGATAGATAAATGTCTTACAAGGCTGTCAGAGTCTAGGAGTCCTCACAATGATTTTTAGGGCCATAAAATACTTTTATTTTCTTCTTTATTTGTTACATGATGCTATGCAGGGTAATAAGGCAATGAATTATCTGGTGAGTTCTTATCAGGTCTGACTCCCCAAGCCTCTTAGGAATGTGTATAAGAGGGAAAAGGTCAGATTTAGTCCTCAGTATTGCTAAGTGGCTGAGTGAGGAAGACAGGAAATATTTCTAAAATTTGCCTCCCAAGAACTCAAAGTCAGCGGGCTCAGCGGCATAGCCTCTAATCCCAGCACTTTGGGAGGCCCGGGCGAGTGGATTGCCTGAGCCCGCTGTTAGAGACCAACCCGGGCAACTTGGTGAGGCCTCTTCTTTACAACAGATAAAAAATTAGCCAGGCACATTAGCGTGGACCTGTAGTTCCAGCTACTTGGAAGACTGAGGCAGAAGGATCACCGGAGCCCAGCAGATCAACGCTGGAGTGGCCGTGAGTGTGCTACAGCACTCCAGCCTGGGAAACAAAGTGAGACTCCAACTCAAAAAAAGAAAAAAAGAACTCAAAGTCTAGGGTTTTTAAAGACAATTTGGCAGACAGGATATAGGGACTACTGATTGGTTGGGGAACTGAATTACAGAGATGTTGAGACTGTCTTCCTGAACCCAGTGGGATTCACAGGCCAATCTCTGTGATATACATACTCCCACCAAAGCCAATTTCAAATTGCCCAAATTATGTTGACTTGTGCTCTCTGAAAATCTAAAATCGACTCATAAAATGATATGTTAGTTTCAACACACTGCTGCATAAGTTTTCAATTGCTTAAGACTCACAGAGCTGTCCTGTCCTACAATCAATCTTCTGTGATATATACACTTTTCTCTAGAAACTTATATCTTTCCATCTGTCCATTACACACTAAAGCTAAACACCCTAAACTCTCTACTTTGGTTCTTGAATACTCAAAACTCTTTCTAGATTAAAGGCTTTCTTTTTCTTTTTTCTTTCAAAGATGTGGAGTACAATCCAGGATTAGGTATACAAGTGGACATTGTGTAGGCAAAGTTTGGGCATCCCTTTGTTTCCCACTTTGCCTGGATTGAGATCAGGTACACTTATTGATGATATGTGCCCCTCCAACCCACACCGGCAGTATCCTGCTACTGCCAATCCCTTTCTTATGGTATTATGGTAAATGTTCAGGGCCCGCTTATGAGTGAAATATGTGGCCCTCAGTTCTTTGTTTCTGTGATAGATCACTGAGTATTATAGACTCTAAATCCATCCAAGTTACTGTGAAGTCCATATGTTTGTCCTTCTTTATGGTTGCATAATATTCCATCATATATTTGTACCACATATTTTTATCCAGACCAGTTTCAATGGGTGGCACAGTTGGTTCCATGTTTTTGATATTGTGAATAGTGCTGCAATCAATATGCATGTGTAAGTATCTTTTTTGTAGAATGATTTGAGTTCCTGTAGTATATTCCCATTAGGGGAATTGCAGGGTCAAATGAAGATCAATTTCTAGTTCTTTTAGAAATCACCTCACTGTTTTCCATAGAAGTGAACTAGTTTGCATTCCCATCAGCAGTGTAGAAGTATTCCCTTTTCTCCGCATCCCCACCAGCATCTGTTGTTGTTTGTTTTATTAATGATGGCCATTCTTACTGGAGTTAGGTGGTATCTCAGTGTGGTTTTGATTTTCATTTCTCTGTTGAGGAGCACTTTTTCATGTATCTGTTGACCACCCATATATCTTCTTCTGAGAAGTGTCTATTCATGTCTTTTGCTCACTTTTTAATGGGGCCTTTTTTTTCTTTCAGCATGTCTGAGTTCCTTGAAGATCCTGGATGATGTTAGGTTTTTGTCAGATGTATAGTTGGCAAATATTTTTTCCCATTATGCAGGCTGTCTCCCTGCTCTCTTGATGGTTTTTCTTTTGCTTTGCAGGAGCTTTTCAGTTTAATGAGGTCCCACCTGTCTATCTTATATCTTATGGCATGGACATCTGGGGTTTTGATCAGAAATTGGTTGCCTACTCTGATTTCTGTAAGGGTGGCTCCTGCATTTCCTAAGATTCTTATAGTTTGAGGTTTAATGTTTAGTCTTTGATCCATTTAGA